GTCACCTGTGCCAACCTGCTCTGTGTTCATGACTAATTTTTCTAGCTTTGAGCCGATAGAAATATGACAAAATTCAGGGTTTCTTGACAGTAGACGGATCTCACCGGGCAGTTTGACTAGGCCACCGCTACCGCAATGCGCCGAGAAATCTTTAGCCTTTTTGCGTATGCGACAACCTCACCTTAAAGCTCGGCGCCTCTGACGCACGCGAGACGGGAGGAGTCACGTCGTGCACTGGCGCTGCGAATTGAAGTTATGGCGGCGTCACGCATGTGCTGAACGCTTAGTGAGATAGCTATGTTATAAGCAGTAGGATTATATTTAAGTCTTTCGTTGAACAATCCTCGCACAATGGATATATGTTTTTTTTTCCTTAAAACGTGTGGCGTATTTAAGCGAAGTTGCTACATGTAGACACATTTTTATATTTATTTGCCCAAAGATAAATAAACTTCACCTATTTATAAAGTTCTGTTTCCCCTTTTTCAAAAAAAAAAAAAAATTACTAGTTCTAATATATATTTTATAGTTCTGTATTCAGAGGACAAAATAATAACAAACATAGGGTTTTTGGTGTACAAGCATATGCACACTAAATTTGTATAGGGAGCAAGCTGCAATAGCTCTTTTTTTTTTTTGTGACAATGTGTAGCGTGCTAATTACTAGCCAAAAGCGCTGTGTTTCTAATATAAACTATAAAAATAATGTTGGCATAGCGTCTTCATTTTGAAAGCCCCTTCGAAAGCATTCAGAATTCGCAAAAAAACATAATTGAGCTATTTCAATTCAAAATAGAAACTAACCGCCTATTTAAATATTATAACGAATATACGTGTACATTTCTATTGTGACTGGAAGACTCTAAATATCAAAAGCTTAACGTACAAACCGCTACTAAGACCCAAAGTTACAAAACGACAAAAATTAATTTCAAAGTTCAGAATATGTACACTCATCAAAAAACGCCTGCAACAACACTAACTATGACCAGAACGTAGGCATCGTGTCCAGAAAACATCGAAAGACACTAAACCCGTCCCACACTATATTACGTTGTGACTTTTCTGCCCCCCCCCCCCCCCCCCCTTTGTTGCATGTGCCGCCCAACATCAGCTACAATATAGCTGCTTCCTTCATGTCAGCATGTCGGTCTTGTCCATCTCTCGGCTAGTGATTTCCGGCACGCAATTTCTTGGCAGTAAGGGTGTTGCGGTGCATTGGCGTTCGCGGTCCAAGAGTCGCACAAAAGTGGGCAACTCAACGTCTTTCAAGTTGACGTCAAAACTCGTGCGCGTCCCCATTGTAAGTTCGCTTTTGCGCTATACCGTCTCGCCCTGAATACAGCGCGTTTCGGCGTAAAGGTCAAAAGCAAAGATCCCCGACTCGGGGGCTCTCGCTCTTTACTAAGTGTAGTTTGAGAGACAATGAAAATCCATTGTAAAAGGGTTGATTATTGGGCTAGTTGGTATTTAAACGTCTAAGGGGTATTAGCGCGCACGTAGAGAGAAGAGAGAAGATACAGGAGATTGATTGATTGGGGTTTAATGGCGCAGCAGCGACCAAGGCTATAATGCGCCAACAACTGAAGATACAGGAGAGAGGCACTAAACTCCATTGCGCTTCCCGGCCGACGCGTACAAGTATCGTCAGCGCGCCGACGTCGCACATCACTGAACTCGTAGAGTCATAGCCGCTTGTTCTGTTTTCGTATTCGAAGAGCCCGATCTTAATGGCTGAAGCGCTTGCAAACGTGGACGAAGCGTCGACTGCGTCGGAACAGTCGCCGTTGCCGTGGTTAGGCTTAGTATTTCGCGGTAACCGTTCCTCCGCATGGTGTTCTCCGTTTCTTGAATTCTTGAATGATTGCCTCGCAGTATAGTTCCAAATGCTAAGATCGCGCTTCTTAGTGTCGTCTACCGATGATGGAATCAGAGATAGGTAGAAAACTCCTCTGTGCCAAGGTACAGATTCTCGAAGCTGGCCGATATTCGCGTGAACTTGCAATTTTTTGAGTCATCGCAAGTCAGTCAGTCACGTATTTATTTTTTCTTCTTCTAAATTTTGTTTTGATTTCTTATTCGTACAAGTAAGATGACCGAGGATTATAAAGCGAGTGAACAAAAAATCTAAACTTTCTGTAATAAACGTGTTTTTTTTCTGACCCGCAAAAGCAGGAGAAAAAAGGCAGGATGATACAAAACTCCAAGACGTTTCGTGTCGGCCGGCCCTTCTTCTACATGCTCTTGGACATTGTTAAACTTTGATGACGGTAGTAGAGTCGTTTCGTGTTAAAACTCAATAAATTATGCCAGCCCTGTCTGCGCGGAGCTGAACACGGCGGCCGTGATGTGCTGAAAGAGGGCTACTCGGAGACTCCCTGCATCACGCTAGCAAAACGAAGAGCGGCTATGGACACCTGGTCGTACGGAGAAGCCGTTTACTCCACCGCAGACAGTTTCTCCCTCGAGGACAGCGAGACGCCGCCGCCGCCCACGACGGCAAATGGCCGGTACGTCTTATTGCTTATATAGGTTGTTGTTTTTGTGTTTTTTTTTTTATACAGAATGTGTTTATACGGAGATAAACCGAGGGAGAGGAGGGGATGACTGCGCCCGCGGACGTCAGATTGCCGACCTCTGATTGGATGGAATAGGGGGTAGGCGCAAAGGCTCACTGCCTTTGCCTCTACTCACTGCTCGAACGCGTTCGGACGCCCGCGTCCGGTGTTTTTGCACGCGAGACACTGCGCGAGGAGGGGTTTGTTCGCTCCGATTGGAAGGAGAGGCAGCTAGCCTTCGCGCCTACCCACTATTTCTCCCACTCAGAGCCCGGCACTCTCCTCCTCCTCTCTCTTTGTTTCTTTCCGTATACGTTCATTCTTTTAACTCTCTTTCGGCCGTAACGCTTGACTGCTACACGTAGTTTCAAGTTAGATAAACCATATGAACATAATATGCATGTATGATTCGTATGTATGGTTCAAACATGCCCAAAAGTCTTTTTTTTATTGTTGACTAGTGTTACAGAAGTGTTATACCCGGAAGAAACCCGGGTCAGATAGTAGAGAGTTTTAGGGAACAGTTTTTGCAAATCCGATACTGTACCATGGGCCCTCGGGTACGAACTGCGCAAGCGCTGCCACAGAAGTAACCCATATGCGTAGTGGGTACCGGAGAGCCCATCGTATCGTACCGGATGGGCAAAAACGGTTCCCTTAAACTCTCTACTGTCTGCCGACTGTCTTTTTGTATGAGGCATTCGCAGAGTGACCTTGACTCTAGAGACCCATTCAACAAAATCGATCTGGTACTGAACTGACGTTGATGAGGACCCACGTCCCGTTGTATACGTCTTGGCGCAGCTGCCGCGACCGTCGAGGGAGCACGGGCTGGGACGCCTTCGGGACGACCCCTAAGCCCGAAGCAGACGACACCGACGGCCTCAAGTGCGTGGATGTCATGCTCAAGATCGTCAAGGTGGTGGCCTACCTGGTCACGTTCGTCTTGGTGCTCGCCTCAGCCGTCGTGTCCAAGGGGACACTTCTCTTGATCACATCAAATGTAGGTCAGAAGACGATGCGCGTTTACCCAAAAGAGCGCGGTGAGTTTTGTCTGACGTCAAACGGACGCTCTTTCGTGCCTTTTGCAGCGAAGCTGTATATGACTCGTTGGTCGGGTTTTTTCGTGTCCGTAGGCAGGCTAGTGGTCGACAGAAAACAATAGCGCTCGCCTTATCATCGTTCACGTGCGCCTTATCATCTATCGTGTGGTTTTGACACTTGTTTCAATAAGAAAACCACAAAACGAGTGTCAAAACCACGTGATAGATGATAAGGCGCGCGCGAACAATGCGAAGCACGTAGCACTCCCCGCATGCGTTTCTCGGTAAAGCAGCGCCGCGATTCTGCGCGACGCTGCTTGATCGGCTTCATTGGATCGTAGCGTCGGCTGCGGTAAGACTTAAAGTGAAATGGAGTGTAACTTATATTTCTGACGCCACGTCAGCGAGATATAGGCATAGTACAATAGCTAGGTGGCGCAAGCCGCCACCCAATTCCGAGTTCAGTCATATTCTCTCATCCTCCCACCCATCGCCAGTCAGCGTGCAGAGATGATTGGCTATTCCAAATACTTGGATTTCTGCGCAAGTGCAGCACCAAGAGCTACTGTGGGTAAAATGGGCTTGTTTACAAACCATGGAACGGTACGCAGACCAACAACCCATGGACTTTTAGGAACGCCTGTACGGCGACAAGCGGACGATAAATCTCTGTGGTGTGCAGAACACGATGACTGCCTGGCTAGTGCTGAAAGACCGGTTCATCAAAAGCGGCTAACCCACTGTTCTTGTCCGAGTTTTGAGGTTAAATAATCTAACAAGTTACATTTTTTACCAAGGGAAAGGAACTAAATACACTAGGCTGGAATTGTGAATGTGGTGCTATCGTCCAACCGAAGAGCCCTTTTCGATTGCCGTCTTTGTAACCAGAAAAGCAGGCGATGGATCCTAGATCTCTACAGTCCTGAAAGGGTCTGATGCTTACAGTGAACTCAGATACTGATACCAGTCATCAAAACGTGGCACTAAGACAAAATACATTTCGTTCGAAGATGATGCTAAGTTTGGCACAGTTCAAACAAGTTGCTACGTAGGAACCCATGGTTCCACATATCATTACGCCTTCGTAGCGCCTCTTCCTTAGCCATACGTAACTTTTTGAGAAGCTGAAAAGAGCACAAGCTAGCTATGTTGGCCCAAGCCAGTTTCGAATATTCGAACCCGCGACATCTACAACTTTTTTTTTTTTCTTCCTACAAAGTCAGATTTTTTACTTGCAGCGAAATGTCTGTCGTGACTACCTCGGGAGTTAGTTCTCTCGAAATCTGCGAGATGGCAACTACGTTGAACAGTGGTATGTCGCTCAATGGCACAATAGGCCATCCGATTATAATGGCTCAGGTGTATACATCCATCTATTCACTCAGGCAGAGAAACTCACGACTCCAAACGAACAATGAACAGTCCTGGTGTCATTCCTGCAGGCGTGTCATACAGCAGGCAATACGAGACAACCACAACGAATGACGAAAGCCTGGCCTGGCGCGGCGTCCTCTTCCTCATCATGATCGTTCCGGAGCTGTTGACGCTTTGGAGAAGCAGTTCGAGATGCATCTTCAGTAACTACCGCACTCCAGACAAAATCACCTTCTTCACTGTAAGCAAGAAAATCTTATTGTACACTTTTAATCTTAATGCATAATTTGTTACATCGCTGGCCGCCAGCAGTCCCGGTTAACACACTCCTGTAACCAAAGTTACTAGATCAGCTCAGCTGTGGAACTCCTGTGGAGGGGGGAGAGGGAAGGGGCGCTGCCAACTTTCCCCCTTAAGTCCGCCACCCGTCGTTTAAAGCGCCATCTAGAAGCTGCGTTTCAAAACTGTGTATTCTATAGATACAGTCAAGCGCCTTCTAGACGATGTGCTTCAAAACCTGTGTATTCCATAGAGTGTGATATAGTCACCATAGCAACCATCTCCAAAACGGCGGAGCGTCGAACAACGGGAGGCGGACATTGGAGGAAGAGGGGGTACTGCTGGTGGAAATAGCATTTATGGGCAGTTTGGTAACTGAGTTGATCTAGTAATGCTTGCCTGTAACGCAGCCCCACACGAGTACCGCGTCACCGTTCGACTGGACCTCATGCCCTCACTGACTGAACACAAGCCTCAGCCGAATGCTGACGCAGAACTCATATTCTCTCTGTTACTAACTCAACTATAGTAACTCTCCCCGGAGAGCTAAACATTCTATGGTTCAATTTTTTTTTTAAATACAAACATCGCCCCCAACGCTCTGTTTGTTACGAACCACGCAGGTGTTCGCCATGGAAACCCTCCAGACAATAGGTGTGTCCCTACTCGTCTTCGTGGTCCTGCCTGACCTGGATGTGCTCAAGGGCGGGATGCTGGCCAGCTGCGTCTGCTTTGTACCGGCCTTCCTGAGCATGTTGTCCCACCGCAAGGACGAAGACAGGCGCATCCTCAGGATAATCATGGACGTCCTCTCTCTGGTGGCACAGGTCACAAGTTTTTTCTTTTGGCCCTGGGTCGTCGGTGGCCCAAGAGCATGGGCCATCCCAGTCGCAGTCTTCTTCGCCTCCTTTCGATGGTGGCCCAACTACGTTGACCGAAGGTCACCCCTAACGTTCATCGCCAGGCTAGGCGAGATGAAGGACAACCTGCGAGACAGCCGATACTTCACCTATATCTTCATCTCCCTCTGGAAGATCCTGCTCATCTTCGGATGCATGCTCGGTTTCACGATGCTAGTCGTCGACGACGTATCCACAGCGTTTTGCAACTTCGTGGGTGTTTTCCGGAGACGAGGGATTGAGTTCATCCTGCTCCCCAAGAAACATCAGGATGACCTAACTATTTCAATGAGCCAATGGATACCCTTGCGAGTGGCGGCCATCCAGGTTATTTCCAGTCTTCTGTGCTACGCCTCGGCCAAGTTCGCCTGCAAGATCCGCATCCAGAGATTCAGCTTCGCATTCCCGATCTTTTTGAGCGTCCCGGTTACTCTCTTCCTCTTCTATGCCGGTTGCGAGTTTCAGACTGGAAGCGTGTGCTTCTTAGATAACTACCTTCCCAAATACCTCTATTGGAGGTGCCCCGAAGATAGCTTCTTCCAGTTCATCAAGGTGCAACACGGGTGGCTGTGGTTCGCATGGTTCCTGTCACAAACGTGGATTGCTGCTCACGTCTGGATGCCGAAGTCTGCAAGGCTTGCTTCGACCGAAAGGTAACACATATCTATACGGAAAGCAAGTCGTCTGCTTTTTTCCGCAGGAGTTGCGGTGACGTCAGAAAAACGCTGAGCTCTGATTGGCTCTTACTGAAGGGTAGTGGGTAGACCTCAAAGCAAGCTGCCTCGAGGTGTTTACCCACTATCCTTATTTCAGAACCAATCAGAGATCGGCGTCTTTCTGACGTCACCACATCCCCTGCGAAAGAAGCAGACGAACCTGCGCTCCGCATAGCCAGTGACAGCATGAGAACTGCAGGGCGTCTCTTTCAGATGTCCGGCCTCCAGCACGCGTTCGTTGCCTTCCGTCGTGCTTCAGCTGCGCATGCGCACTGGAGGCTCAAAAGACACCGAGGCGTTATTGAAATTAGGGAGCTCGCTCTGAAAGCCGGAAAGAGCTCCCTGTCGTTCTGAACCCGACAGTGACTTTAGTCAAATCGTCTATGCATACAGCTCCACAAAGCAGTCATTAAGAGCTCGAACAAAGTAGGAAGCGCCATCTGCTCAAGAACAAGAAAAGAGAAAACTGTTCCGTGGCACAGAAAAAATAGCTTGAAGAGCGCGATAAAGCTAACGTTGGAACGGCATGTTGCTCCAGATCAGTCGATGACTCTAGATATAAAGAGCTACACTATGAAGGTCCATTTCAGGAACATAACTCTTGGTCTCTTGTATTTCCATGCATTCAATATAATATTTTCCATGACATAAATGGAGTGCGGGTACATCCACAAGTCCTTCGATGTCCTAGAAACGTCGATCTTTTCCGACTCTTGCTACAATTAGGCGATTCTTAAAGCGAAAACCTAGTGCGTGTTTCGCATATTATGAACGCCAAAGACCCATTTTCATTTCGTTCGGAGGACATTTTCTGAGTATCGGTAAAAGCACTGTTACGGTGGCGTCTGCCAACGTGACGGTGCTGCAAAACGCACAAGAGATCACGCGACGAGCCATCAGAGTGTTTCCTTCTTCGAGAACGAGACCATCTTCTGTAGGTACATCGTGCCTGTCGCAGGACTCAGTGACAGAGGAAGGTTCTAAACAAAGTTCCTGATGTCCGGTGGCTGTAAGCAGCAAAACCAGAACAAAACATTTTATAGTAATGACAATCAAATGATAAAGCTGAGACCAAAATGAAACGGGTCGCAAAAGCCAACTAAAGCAGACAAATGCCTTACGCACTGTATAACAAAAAAAAAATAGCGACGACCCAGCATAAACGATGCACCTGCAAAACAAGTTACATATAGACAGTGAATAAAACATAATGGTTCTAAACCGTACACTAAAGGTGACGAACGTCTTAAGATATAAGGTATTTCAGTTCACACATAAAAACAAAATTACAATGACAAGAAACGCCCCAACTTTTTTTTTTTCACTGCAGAGCGACGTATTGGTTAATAAGCACTAACAGATTCAAACCAAAACAATTACCAACGCGCGGAACTATGACCTCATGATCCACAGGAGCCGAGGAGAGTAACTCCCCGCGTCGACGCAGTTTCCTAAAATAAACACGTTTAAACTGTTTTGTTTCGTAAAGTATATTAATTTTATTACGAACTATATTTGCCTTCGATCAGTTTCGAAAATATTTCGGGCACTATTTTGTCACCAAGCATGATGACAGAAAAGAGAGTGAGGGCAGATCGAAACACACAATCCTTGACCTGCAAAACTTAAAAAAAAAAAAAAAATGACTTTGAACAAATTCTTTTTTTTATATTTGTTTGATTGGTTGAGCATTTGCAGATGGTTTCATTTATAATCTCAGCAAGCATAAATACCCTGTCAGTACTCCAGTATTCCCTTAAGTGCAGCCTTTCTCCTCCGCACTGCTTCTAGCGCTGCGCTGGTACAAATCAGAGCGGCTTGATAAAGTCATTACACCATATTCAATATCATAAAGCAGTTCAACGAATAAAAGACTATAGTAACGACGTCGGGCGTTGTGGTACATTCTTCGCACTTAATAACGTATTATTTGCAGGCTCTTCGTGAATCCGTTGTACTGCTCAGCACTCATCGATCAGTCCTTGGCCATGAACCGGAGAAAAGACGACGAAGACATCAGAGGCGACGTGCGTTTTATCTTTTCTATATTTCTAGTCGTAGTTCCTGGGAAGACGAGAAGGATGGGGCGTCACTTTTCGATGCCGTGCCTCCAGCACGTGCCCGTTCATTTCAACCATTTCAGCCGTGCTGTGGCTGCGCATCTGCGCTCGGGGAAGCGAATTTTGCCATCTTATACTTCGGGGCAAGTCTGGCAACATTGATTCTGCTTCTTGTCATCTTAAGTTCAAATTGGTTCAAAGGTTGACTGAAATAGATGATACGCGGTGTGCACAACGTAATGTATGTAACTATTTATACATGAAAAGCCGCAGCTCCTAACCTCTTCGTCTTCAAAAAAGAAAAAGAAATTAGAAAAGGAGAAATTAGTAACTTTGAAATATTGTAAAACAACTTTCGAGTTATGGAGACGGTCACCTCTTCAGATTGTTCGTCAGGTCACGGAGGCGCGCATCAGCGTTCCCTACGCAACGGGAACCAGCGAAGCGCTCGCACGAGTACTGGGAAAGGAAGGTATTCTGGTGGCTCACAAGCTTATGTCCACACTGGGAAGGTTTATGCCAAGACCCAAAGATCGTCCACCAAAAGAAAGAGCACAGGGCGTGGTTTACACCATTCCTTTGGCAGAGTGCCCCGCAACCTAAATCGGCGACACAAAGAACTTTCCAGAGCATATCCGCCAACACAAGAACGACGTGCGGAAGCTACAGTGGCGCAGCGCCATCGTCGAACATTGCAATACCCTATGGACGCTTTGTAGCAGCTGTGCATGGGCGCCGCCATAAGCGACCTTCAGTTTTTGTTTCCTCTTATTCCGTTCGCTTCACGTCATCATTACCACAGCAGAACAGGTTATTGCGACTTTAGGTGCTACTGCGTCCTTTTCCTCATCATAGACCTCTTTGGAGGCTCATAAACGCCCGCTTCGGTGGCTCGGCATCTCGGTAAAACAGGAGAAGGTCAGCTATGGCGACTCAATCTGGCGCGTGTGCAAAGCGTCTATACTCCGTTTCACATTATGTTGTACCGCAGCGAAGGCTAGAAGCGCGAGCTCATACCGTTGGCAGCTGTCCTTAAAGCACGCGAGCTTGTGCCGTCAAAGTGGGCCCCAGAGCAAGGAGTTCGCACTTGTAGCCTTTCCTGCGGTACATCATAAGGGGAAATAGAGTATTAGCGATGTGCGCCGCCAAAAGCGTCGCTGTGGTCAGCTTTCCACTAAAGCCCCTCGATGTGTTTGCGCTTGTCTTGCAAGTAACGTCAAATGCGCGAGTGCACGAGGCCCATGTCTCGAGCGGCCCTTGGAAGCAAATGGCGGCACAGCACTGAAATGAGCGGGCCTTGGAAGCGAATGGCGGCGGAGCACCCGCTCATGGCACGTGTCTCGCGCGCTTCCACAACAATGGTTGGCGGTACTTGTAAAAAACGCTTTTATCAAGGGGCTTTACTTTCCACGATTGGCCAAACCATGGGCATATGAGCAATGTAAGATTCTCAACTTTGACGATGTTAGTGTCAGATTGCGATGGCTCCTAGCTTCTACTGTACTTTTTGAACACACCATCGAACTCGTCGTCGCACCCGATGGTAAGTAGCCAGAATAACAACTGGTGACGTCACGGAGAGGCAAATCCCAGTTGTGACGTCACGGAGGCGAAGCATAAGAGGGCGCCACCGAAACATCTCGGCGCTAATAGACCATCGCATTTACTTCGCGAATGCACAAGAGGTGGACACAGAGCCCAATTTTCGAAGAAGACTTTTCTTTTAATCGTGGCAAATCCAGCATACGCCAGAAAACCTAAACAGGTCCCTGGGTGCTTTGCCCTCTGTGTAGGAACATGGCCTCCGTGACCTGTCGAAAAAACTGAAGAGATGACCGTCTCCATAACAAAAAAAGTTATTTTACAATTTTTCAGTTTCCTAATTTCTTCTTTTTTTTTTAATTTCTTCTCCTTTTTTTTTCCCTTTTGAAGACGAAGAGGTTAAGAGCTGCTGCTCTCCCGCGTGCCTTTAGTCACCTCTGTGGAAGAAATCGAGTTGGTCTTGAAACATCGGATTTCCTTTCCAATATTGGTTGGAGCTACATTTTCGGACTTTAGCTCTCACCCAACCAGGCAGATTTCTGCCAAATATGTTTACTTTCAAGACAAATACATTCTGTGCTGTCTGCCATAAAGAGAGTGAGACACTAGAGCACTTGGTTTTGAAGTGCACGGGGCTTTGCCCTGCCTTCCCTGAAGGATTAACAGATTTTACCGAGGCCCTGAGTTTTACAGGCGACGATAGAAAGACGGACAAGAAAAGGGGTACAGTCGCAAAGAGGCGATTAGATGATTGGTGGAAATTATCTCGGGAAGATTGACTGATTCACAACTAACAAGCTCAGCTGGGGACAGGCGGGACAGAAGAAAATTGGACCTCCATTTTGCGTGACTCCGGCCCAAAGTTTCAACCCTGTCCCCTAGTGGGTCCGGTGCTGGGGTAACGCCAACAAGGTTTGACCAGAGGAAAATAGGCGACTCCCTCGCCGGGCGGAGGAGGCAAGGGGCGATGTTATTTTACTTTTTCTGCCCGATCACTGAAAGGTCATCCTGGTTTATATCCCACATTGCCTGGTGATAGTTAGGGTGTGAAAATTGGCTTAGAAGGGCGGGAGGAATCACGTTTTTGTCTTTTTAGACTTGGGCTAGGTGGCGCAAGCTAACGCCCGTTACAAAGGTTATAGCCATTAACATCCATCCATCCATTCACCGGATTCGCAGGATATACGGTGCGTAGAGCGCGTCTCCATGGAGTGTTTGGTAGAGAGCTCTTCTACCTCCGATAATGATACCGATAACTGTACGATGCATGCGCAAATGCGTCAGCAGATATCGGGTATCTTAGTCGGAGTTATCGTAACGATCGTTTAAAACTCTCTCGACTGGTGCGTTTAGCGTCCTAGCACGCCCATGCATCAAAATTGGTTTCCCGAAATGGCAACAAATGACGTCACAGTAGGCGGAGTACCGCGCTGGCGGATGCCGTGACCTTGGAAGTAGGTCGTAGAAATGCTGGTGAAAGCCACGAGCGAATGCGAGTGTCGCTGTCGTCATGGCATCCCAACTCCTGGCTGCTGAAACTTCCGCGGACTGTCAAGCTGGACAGCAGCCAGCCTGCAGCAGAACAGGCGTCTGCCACATCCGCCTCTGCTGCTGAAACACCGCCAGGATCGCGACCGGCGGCAGCATGTCACTTGTATGACGTCACGAGGCGGAAATCGAGGTACCACTATTTGGACACGGTAAACGCACCACTCGGATACGCGTTCCAGGCGCCATAGTGTAAATCTCTTAATTGATAGGATAGCGTCCAATGGGAAGCGTAACTCAAGCCTCCATTTCTAAAGCCTTTTTTTATATCGTGAAACGCCTTTTAACGGAACCTCCTCAATTCCAAAATAATGTTCGTCCATCCATCCGTCCAGTTCCCGCTAAATTCAGCGGAGAAATGGACTTCACGCAACCTAACCACCAATACAACTTCCCCACTAAATATAGCGGGAAAAGTCCGTTTTCCCGGTAAATTTAGGAGGGGAATTCTTTAAAATATAGTTCTTTTTCTCTCGTCGACGCGACTGTTCAATGTGCTCTACACAACTTTAAACGATCGCTCCTTAGATACTTCATTGCATGTATTATAGTACTTTTATGATCAAAGGACGGTGCGATATCTTTTTTAAATCTATTTTCTCGATGCAGGCGGAGTCTCCGCACATACAGAGGCATCTGGACCACACCGTTCGCATCTACGCCTGCGTCACCATGTGGCACGAAACAGCAGATGAGATGAAGAAGGCACTCAAGTCTGTTTTCAGGTATACGTGGTGACGCCGAGAAACAAAAAAACTTTCAGCCGTTCCACTCTGGTGAAGAAGGAAGACCAGCGGAGCTGTACAATGGACAGTAATGGCCGGCCGCAAGTCGGCAAGCCAGAGTGGAAAGGCTGCCGCCATCTATGAGCGACGGCGGCCACCAGGTACGTGGCTTGCCGCCGTCGTTCATAGATGGCGGTAGGTGTCCAGAGTTCGGTGTCTTCATTCCTTTGCGGGGGGACACGATCCTGGGGAAACTAGCCCTGAACAGCTCCGCTGTAAAATCAAGAATGCGGATGATGGGTTGCATAAGTACGTGAAGGAAAGACTTGCCCCTAAAGTCAATGCTTTGGGACAGTAGCTCCGAAGCACTGGCTCTAGCGTACGCATGTGCGCTAAAGTAACTGTGTGCGAACACACGCGAACACACAAAAGCTTCATTCTTAATCGGGCCCCAGAAAATACACATATGCGCAGATGCAACAACCCGTGCACACGAAACCTGACGAAGATAAAAATGCGTGCAAAATGTAAGTTCGAACTTCTACACGCGAACACGAGTAAGCAAAAACTCAAAGACAAGAAAACGAGGCGAAAAAAAGCGGGAGCACAGTTTACGCCGTTACATAAAAGACGTTTACTTGCTTCCAGTGCCCTTGACTCAACCTTCAGAATAAACAAGGAGCCCCAAATAAAATGCTTGTTCTCCATCCTGAAAAAAAAAAAAAAACATTTATTTGTTTTACATTTTCTGACAAAAACGCGAAGCTCACAGTATGTTGCGCACGCATCATGCGTGCCTTATGGTTTGCTATATTTGGCTACGGAATCCTTTGGCTGGTTTTGGATACCTTGCACACTTGGAACACACGCCCCAGGTTTATCAGAATGATCAAGGCAAGATTCAATTTATTCAGGACCCGCGACGTGATGAGATCACGGGGGAGATATGCCGAACACAAGTTCGTCTGCTTCTTTTGCAGGGGTTGCAATGACGTCAGAAAGACGCCGAGCTCTGATTGGCTCTGATTGAAGGATAGCGGGTAGACCTCGAGGCAGCTTCCTTTGAGGTCAACCCACCATCCTTTCATCAGAGCCAATCACAGCTCGGCGTTCTGACGTCAACACAACCCCCGTAAAAGAAGCCGACGAACTTGCACTCCGCATAGCCTCATCATTCGGAAGCCAGGTGCCGGTGCCGATAGTCACGTTCTACCGTTGGATCCCTTGAGTCATACTGAGTCCAGCTACTTGTTTTCCCGTTCGTCTTCTTCTAGTACCGAAAGACAAGCGTGATGTTGCGGATCGCACCGGTCCGCATCCGATTCCCACTATTGGTAAACCTCGTTAACCATGATCACTTAGGACTGCTTATGCTTATATATGCCTTGTATACATATGCATTGCCTGCTATGGGTCATTTATGCCTCATGTTGCCTTGGCCTGCGAGTAACGGCTTTTCGCATAAAATTCGACCCATGAACACAGTTTCTGTAAAACCAAAATACACAAAGCGAATAGATTATGTTTCAATTTTTACTCAGAATGGATGATGACCAGTGCGCCCGGAGAAACGCCCGGGAATATCTCAAGAGAGTGGACCCAGACTACTACGAGTTCGAAGGTATGCCCCTACGGGAAACATCCCTAGTAGACATGACCATACCACGTATGGCCGAGCACAGTTGTGTTGGAAGATTCCTGCTGTGTGTTTTCCCTTGAATCCTCACATCCTCATGTAAAGATGCTCATAACCATCACAAAAGAAGGCATTAACACGACATCTTTTGCGTCTGTGACTTTGCAAACATCCGCATTATCAATATTTGCGCGCAAATGTTTACAGCTCGAAAAGTAACGCAGTGGAAACAGCCAATGCCTCGATGGAAGGCTTTGTAAAATGAAGGGTTACATCCGATGTTGACCCTTGTTGGACGGCAATCTCAAAGGTCTTCAAACAAAAGGCTTTTATAAGATCGGCAAACCAGCTTGCGATCTCGACTCGGCTCGTGGCACTCGAAATGTGCTGGTTCATCGATTACATCCTTTGAAATGCCGATATAATTGGGAGCGAGAGTCTCGAGGCCTTAGACCGACCGAAGACCTTCGTAGAATCTCTAAATTAACACGTTTCGAGTGAAACTATCAGAGTCGGGATCGCAGGCTGACTGGGCGATTCTATAAAAGCATTCGGCGTGAAAGCCTTTGCAACTCCCGTTCCCCGTTTCGTGAGCATTTTAAAGGTATTTACAGCGAATCCTCTTGTGGAATCAGCCAGTAACTGCATCTTGCAATCCCGACTTTGAATATACCATTCGGCATCTGCTGGTTCGCCGATTCTATAAAGGCCTTCTTTCTGGGGGCTTTTTTAAATGCTCGTGAAACATAAGTATAAGCTTCCAGGGACTTCTAGCCGGCGTTTCGCCGAGTCAGAATTGATGATGCTTGGGTTCGCAACTGGTCTGACCGCAGCATACACACCAAGTCAGCCTATGTGTGTAATGGACTCACTGTAAGAGAACAAGGAGATATGTCCGAAAGCATTTATTCCTAGTTAAAGTAAGCCTTCTACCTTTCTTACTCTGCTCGTATGATCTCATACTTGCAGCACATGTTATCTTCGACGACGCCTTCGAGGAGAGCGACGACAACGGTGAAGAGATGGTCGTCAACCGTTTCGTGAAGCAGTTGGTTGAAGTAGTTGATCTTGCTGCCAGGTAAATGTTACTTACTCGCCTGGACAGATACCGTTATCGAGTGCGGAACTCCCACAACTCTGAGGCACGTCACGGTCGCATCTATTAGACAAAATCGCCAGCCCGAGTGTCCGAGAGATTGAGACAGCGCTCCGATCCAATCATATACGGTAGAACGTGCTCCTCATATTTAATTAACTTCAGTTGTCCATTTGTTGCTAACTCTGTGTACCTCGCATGAGGGAAGGGTTTGAAAGCGGCAATAAATTTTCCATGGTGGTTTTCTAGCTCTCGGTAGTTCCATAAACAAACTCAGTAAGCCACCATTCGACCAATATGTAACGTATCATAGAAAAAAAATACATATTCCAAGGAGGTGCACCGGGTCTCAAGATAGCTTTATAGATAGGGTGACCATATTCCTCAAGGTATAAAACGGGACATCCCAGCGGGAGAGAAAAAGGCGGGGGGGGGGGGGGGGGGGTAATACTAAAGATTGAGAGTGGGAGAAAATCTTTTACTGAAATGATTGCTTTTATTTCAAAATCTTACCATATTCTACTAAGCCCTGGGCCCAGTCACACTCACAGCTTAGTTGCATGCACTCCTTTGCAATGTCGTGCTTTCGGTTCTTCGTTTGTGTGGGCGGATTTTTCCGACGACTGAAGTTTTCTAAGCAGGACTTTATCCCGCAAGAATCGGTTGTCATAGTCTGTGCACTTATGTGAGAAAAAAAATAATCATGTCTCGAAAACGGGACATGATTCTTCATTGGGACAAAATGACGGGACGGCAGAGGCGGACCTCAAAAACAAGACTGTCCCGGCCAAAACGAGACGTCTGGTCACCCTATTTATAGACGCCCAAGTCAGGATATCAAACTATACGAAAGGAGGGGCTTCAGGTCTTAAGATACGTGAGGGCTTTCGTCTATCTCGAGAACCGATGCACCTCTCCTTACTATTCTCTCAAATCATATCTGCGTATGAGCCGGTGGGTTACTACCCAAGCTGTTTATTGAATTACAGGGAGCTGGACTACCATGGGAGATAGACTGTTGTCTCCAAGCCCTCCACTGTACATTAGAATCTGCAAGGTTATGACCGGCTAGCAGCCAATGTGTTTAGTAATCCCTTTGTATGCTCCGATTCCGGTTGAGTCTGACCGCAGTAAACGTGACGATCCCGTGGGCCCATTCAAGCAGCGTCAAAAGTGCATTGTCATGGCGCTCGTTCTTTCTGTGCCTTTGATATCTCCGGCAAAACCAATCGCGCCCAATGAGAAGCACTAGCCCAAGCAGCATGGAATTCGACCAATGGCTGGCGACGGTCTTTTGGCCAATGGCCAAAGAGTGGCCATTCATCGGCCAATGCTTAGCCGATGGCTGATGGCCAGTGGCCACTGGCCAGTGGCAAGAAAAAGGTCAGTCATCAGCCAATGGCTGGCAATTGTCTGGCCACCGGCCAAAGGACCATTTCCAGCCACTGGTCAATGATTGGCCAAATCTGTGCTGCTTGGGAGGATCACGGCGCCTTCACCGTGCACGATTGATTTAGCCGGGAATAACAAACACAAAAAGACGGCGAGAACTACGACGATGTACTTTTGGAAAAGGGTGCAAACATTGACAAAACCTTTCTCCAAAATGATGTCACTGACGCTAGTGTGTGCCGTCCATTTCAGCGATGTGCACCAGTACGAACGGCACCTAAGGCCTCCCCAAAAAATTGCGACTCCGTACGGCGGTCGGCTCGTATGGCGGATGCCCGGCAAGAATAAACTCGTCGTCCACCTCAAGGACAGGAGCAAGATCAGGAACAGGAAGCGCTGGTCCCAGGTCATGTACATGTATTACCTGCTAGGACACAAGCTGATGGAATCGCCCATTGACGTCGAACGCAAGAAACTTATGTCCGAGAACACCTTCATCCTGGCCCTGGACGGAGACATCAACTTCAGGCCGCACGCTGTTCGGCTTCTGGTCGATTTTATGAAGAAGAATAAGAATCTCGGTGCCGCTTGCGGCCGTACTCATCCCGTGGGATCAGGTATGGCTAGTTCCCTATCTTCCTGTGTATTTTAGAACAGTGATCGAAAAAAAATAACAAAGGCCGTTAAAGAGGGCAGGGACAACGTGAGAAAAAAAAATGGTCTTCAAGCGTCAGAGTGGCTGGTGACAATTTGCTACGAGGCTAAGCTTCACCCCCTCAAAATGCCGAGTGCCTTGGTGAAAAACTGCCCCTCTGGGGACTCCAGAAGGCTTTATTTTTCGGATTACCAGTGTCTTAAACGCGTGACAGTGTCATGACAAGTTGTCGCATGGCGAAAGGAGAACAGTGTGGTTTTCTTTATGGGAATCAAATCATAAATCATATTATGTTTATCTGGAGCAATATATAGGATGTAATACAATATCTCGCGGAATTTATGATCCCGTTATGCCGATCACCGGTGAGTTTTTAAGCGGTTGGCTGCCGGAATGATATAAATCCCTTCGAGGCATACGTTATTGTATTCTATACCTGTGACCAACTGTAGACCACTCACAAAACCGCCCCTTGCAAGCTGCAATCTTTCTTTACATTGGATGCGGATTACGCTCCGAGCGCGGAATAATTCTTTTCTTCAAAATACCATGCGCTGCTCCTGCGCCCAAGGCCCAGGAACCATGCATATTTCGCTAGGGTGAAAGGCGATGGAAAGGTGCATAGTTTAGATTAGAATTTTAGAATATATTACCGATCACAGACACCCAGAATCGTCACCAGGCAGCGTAGATCGATAAGGAGATTTGATGATCCATCGGGCATACGTTACAGGCCCGATGGTCTGGTTCCAGAAGTTCGAGTACGCCATGGGCCATTGGCTGCAGAAGGCCACGGAACACATGATCGGCTGCGTGCTGTGTAGTCCCGGCTGCTTCTCACTCTTCCGGGCCAAGGCGCTTATGGACGACAACGTCATCGGAAAATACAAAACACGGTCGGACGTAGCCCGGCACATTGTCCAGTGCGACCAAGGTAAAGAGACCTACCGGGTCGTTACTCACTGGGGGCGACAGTGCTAAACTTAAATGTATATGTGCATTTCACTGGTCTGGCTCTAGCCATGTCTACTTATAGGAAAAGCGAAACGGTCCTATAAGGTGTAATATTAGGCATTTCATGTTAAAGGGGCGGTGCAACGACATTCATTTGGAATGTTTTTCATTTTACACGAGCTTACAGGCACTAGTGTAACTCAAGGATACTCGCACGCAACGCCACTGGCCAACAAACTTCTTCGTTGCGGTGTCATTTCAAGGACAAAAACGAGCGTTTTTATTCAATTTCTACTTCGCAAAACGTGATGACGGAGCTGGTCGGTCGCAGTACGGCCCAGTGACGATATTTGAATGCGGCTCATAGATTGGACCCGAGCACTGCGTGGGCACTGGATGTGGGCTCGTGATAATCGATAGCTCGACAAGCATTCGGGTAGTGGTCCGTGTCCAATCGCTGAAATGACGACCATAGCCGAACCATACCAATGCCTGTAACTCAGCGCGTGTCCTGTACCTTGCCAACCCCAGCGCGTGACTATGATCAACATATAATCGGCTCCGAATCACGTGGCCGCTTGTTCTGGCTGCGAGTTGAGGGAATAAACGCTGCTAGTCTTCTTGTTTTTTTTTTTTGTTGTTGTTTTTTGCGGCTTTTATTGCGCGACGTGAAAAACAAACGTTGTTTCATGGGTCATTAAAGTCAGTGCTTCGTCCTTCCTAGTATTTTCGCAAAAGTACGAATATTGTTGCATCGCCCCTTTAAAGAAACGACGCAGCAACGCGGTTTATTTCTAAACTATAAACGTGATTAAACCTCCACGCAGCACTAAATGCAGGAGGCATATATTTCAGCCGTAGAATGACGAAAGACACCCGTCAGTCAATCGCAGGTCACGACCTCCAGCTCGCAAAGCGAACAGAGTGATTTTCGCACACCCTGCGAGAAACCATGGCTTGCGATTGGCTGACGGGAGCCCTTCATTCCCGTTGTGTGCACAGCTCGCGTTCTTTAGGCCCCGTGAAATACTTCACGGTGAGAGGTCATTCGCAGTCTACTATAAAAGCCCAATTATCGAACCAAAGCAAGGCGCAAGAAGTCAGTGTTCATAGCGTTAGTTATCCGCGCTCCAAGATAACCCTCAGAATATCATTTCCGCGTGTAGGATTATGCCACGTCGAATTGGCATCGGTGCTTAAGAACACAAAACCGCGATTCAAACGCCCCGACCCTTGCTTGGCTCACTAAGACTTGGGTTAGCTGGTGGAACGTGCCTTCAAAAGACAAGTTACAGCGCATACAAAAGACGAGCACGAAAAACATATGTTTGTGTCTCCTTCCTTTCGTGGTTGTTCATTGTGTGTGCTGTACTGATCGTTCAGCCCTCCGCCCTTCTTATTGCGCTGTACTCATCGTTTGAAAGCGTTGGTCACACAACTCGACTGGCTACGTTGCCCGTTGCCGCTTTCTAACCTTCAGGAGAGGACCGCTGGCTCTGCACCCTACTGCTGCAGCGAGGCTACCGCGTTGCGTACTGCGCCGCGTCGGACGCCTACACCCACTGTCCGGAAGGATACGGAGAGTTCTTTACACAGCGTCGCCGCTGGGCTCCGTCCACCCTGGCCAACCTCTTGGACCTACTGGAAAACTACAAGCACATCGTGGCCATCAACGACAACATCTCGTTTGGCTACATCGTGTACCAGGCCATGTTGATGATAGGCAACATCCTGGGGCCTGGTACCATCTTCCTCATCATGGTCAGTGCCGTGGCGAGTACGTTCAACATCCCCAACTGGGCTTCCTTGGCCTTGAACACCGTGCCGATTCTCGCCTTCACGATCATCTGCTTCACGACCAAGAACAGCATCCAGGTGAGCTCCCACGTTTATTTCACTCGCGACCTGCGGGTTCGAACGACGCGCGGAAGTTTTATTAGAAAAATGGGCAGATGTCTCGATCGTGTCTTGTAAACTCGGAGACGCGCAGAATGTGTTGCAAATAAGGTAGGCAGATTCTGCGCGTCTGACGTCACGTGACGTCATGATGTGACGTCATGATGTGACGTCATGGCGTCTTGATGCGCTTTATAAGGTTATGTATGGGCTTACATACTTTATATCTGAATGTGTAAAATGGTGAATCTGGAATATGTCGCTGGAAAAGTTGACGCCTGGAACCTGAAGGGGCCCTCTAAGAATATTTGAGCTGCTGCACTTTCTATGTTGCGACCTCATTAGTCGGATTAGCCACTCAAGGAACAAGTAGTAGCCACGAAGTATCAGTGCATCATATTTTAATTTGATCAAACGAAAACAGCGCAACGTCTGGTGGGTCCCCGGCGTGTTCAAAACGCGCAGTGGGTGACGCTTTATGTCTTTGGGATTGGCAGCGGCGGCAAGAGCCGTCAGAATTGATTTTATGCAGGCTAAATAAAGTGTATCACTCCGTGAAGTATCATGTTTTTTCAGAAAGTCGTTTTTATTTAGCCAGAAAGGTTAAAAAGTTAAAAGGATGCTTCGAATGCGATAAATAAAAAAGATATATCAAAAAACCCTTTACCAAGACACCCGTTTTCCAGCGACGGTGGTGGCGGGATTAGCGAACCGGTTTGCCGGTCCTCGCGCGAGCGCCCCATCAGCAGACAAGTACAAGTTACTCAAGAGCAGTAATTAAGTCAAGTTACTGAGTATTGACATCAAAAGTATTTTGAACAGAGTAGAAATTACTCAAATGGAAAGTAATTGAGAAAATTACTAAGTGCCGTAAAAAAGTTGCGAATTACCTTTCAAGTTACTTTTGTATGTTTCTTTTTATGGTAACAAGAAAGTACAAAAGGTTTTGATTCGTTAGCGAAATTGTGCTAGTCAAATATAAATCGGCTTGTTTTTGCATAAAAATGCTTTAATAGCAGGTTCGGCTTCTGTGGGACTAATTGCTTTCTACTTTGTTTTGTTATTTTTTTTTTATCAATGATGTAGTGCGAACGTATCATTTCTACTTTGAGGTTTAGCACTGCCTCAGCTTCATTTTTTAAACAATGTTTGTTTGTTTACAGTGTTGCGTAAAGTACACCTAAAAAGTAATTGAAGTAAAGTACAAATAAATGAGAAGAATTATGTACTTCAAGTAAAGTAGTAAGTACGCCGGGTGGAATGTACTTGAAGTAACGAACTATAAATACAATATGTTTCGAGGTAAGGTACAAGCACTTTTAACACAACCTTTGATGATGCCCTTTCATTCCCCCTACAGTATTTCCTAACTGGTATGAAATGCTCCAGGGGTAATCGGAGGTGCATCAGATCTTTTACGGAAAGGGCAGCAAATATTGTATAAAGTCAAGTCGCCACAAAGTAGTTGTTTTACTCTCGCTGACGAGCTATTTGACACAATCAACTTATAAGGCATTTATTTGTGTCGGCCTTATAGCCGCCATTACTTCACTAAAAGAAATGACCAGATGACGTCTCGAAAGAGCGCGTTTTCACACGACGATACGGCATTTTTTTGTTTTCAAATTCTGGGAATGTACATTGAAGTCGGGAGGTTTACTTTTCTCGGAAAGTACCCGAAACAATACTTTAGTAAAGTACAATTACATGTTCAGAGAATGCACTTCAAGTAAAGTACACGTTTTCTAAACAGTAGTACTTTAAGTACCAAGTACTGAGAGTACTTCCCAACACTGCAAGTGTATTATTTTTTATATAAAAACGTTGGGGGAATTACTAAGGTTTCTCGAACAATCTTCGAATCTTTGAAGGTCTGCATATTCTGAGTTTTGGGCGGAAGAGGCAACGCAAACAGGTCACCTTTGCGTTGCCCTTTAGCACGCGATTCTTCGAGTACAGCACAAACAACGGGAGCACCAGATAAGCTTCAGAGAGGGTGCTGCATTTTGTTGCCTCCTTTGGGTGAGGATGCAGTGTGTACACCTCCTGTACGCAGGCGAGAGTTCGTACGTTGAGGAAACCGGGAACCGGCCATTTTTTTTAAAATAGGTCAAGTCTCCTCGAGCTTCGGGACGCAAAGAGACGCCAGTCTTCGGCGCTGATCCCACAGTTACTCGGTCTCTTTTGCATCGTGCATGTTCGCTCCTTGCGCCTCGTAGCAGTCTTGTTGCAGTGGGGGGCTCGTGAAAATTATGGTTGGTTTTGGACTCTCCAAACCACTTTCTTATGTATAAGCTATGTATGATCCTGTGCTACAGTCATACGGGCCAGCAGATATTCCCGCTCAAAACAACAAATACCAAGAGTCGAATGTCGATTCTTCCAAACAATAGCCGGACGGCGGATTCGTGCCGAGCGAACTCGACGAGTGCGGTATTGCGATCTTTTCCGGTCGACATTCTCATAATTTTTACTTCTTTCAACCTATCGCGGTGGAGCTGACCCCTGACCCGAGCCGCTGCTGTGATTACACAGATCGCAAAACATTCCGATATGCGAAAGCAAAAAAAAAAAAAGAAATATGTGGAGCAGAGCGCGCGATACCGCGCTGGATTTGGCGAGCACATCCATCGAGGAAGAACATCCACCGAGTCAGCACATCCATCCATGGATGTGTTGGCTTGAGCCTCGAGAGAAGATGGGGGGGGGGGGGGGGGGGGGGATTTAACGTAACCGCACTCAAGCGAAGACTCTATTGTTATGAAAACGAAAATACTGCTACCCTTCTTGAGCGCTAATACACATGGCCATCATTAAAAGTTGGAGACGGGTGGCGACTTCACTACTAGGCCAGTTGTGTGACTGCTTTGGTTTGATTTCTGCATGTTGTCTGTTTGATTGAAAGCAGAGTGTCGAACCGAAATTTTCTTCGGTTCGGTTGAAGTTTGCGTTCACGGGTTTCGCTACAGTTCTAGAGGGCAAAAACTGTTCCAACCGGTTCAAATTTTCACATTTGAGATACTTTTTTTCCTCTCTTTCGGCAGTAAGAGCGTTTAAGGGCGAGTTCATTGCTGTGTTTGTGTGTTATGCACGCTCACTGTCAGACTCGCCGCAATTGCGCGCTAGCGAATCTGATTTAGCATGTGTGGACTGTGATTTTTGTAAACAGTGGAAACGTCCATACAGCGTAGTGGACGACGTCGGCACGACCGCAGACGATTTTCCAGCCGCTTCGCGCCAACCTTCCAATCAATGAATTGTCCATAATATGCCATGCGGCTGCTAAAATGTTTTGCTTGTTTTTGTGATCCCAATTCGCTTACAAGCCTCAAAAAATAAATCGAATTTTCAGAACAAAAACAAAACTTGGAGCACGCTTAAAGGGGCCATGCAATCATATTTAAGCGTTTACCTTTTTTGCGGTTTCCACCTCTCTTGCGGTTCGGGCAAGCCAGCGGGCACGGAGAGAGTAACTAAATGTCAGTGCGTCATATTTTAACAGGACAACGCAGTACCCTCCTCCAACTACAGGGGCGACCCGCCGTGCCGAAAGCGTGCGATATGTGACGTGTTTGGTCCTGGGCTTACTACTGGTCAGAGCCGCTAATAGATTATTTTTAGTCGAAATACAAAATATAAGTGGTGCGAACCGTTTAAATTATTTGTAAAAGTAGTTTTTGTTCAGTATTTTAGATCAAAAAAGAAACAAATGCAGTTTATGAAGTCAGGAAACAAGAAATGACCCGTCGACACACCCGCCACCAAGCGGTGGAAAAGGAGGCGTACACTAGAAAGGAATAGTGGGATCAGGCGCCGACACGAAATGGTCCCGGATGTACGCGACGGCGATGCGGTTGTAGGAACTGGAGGATCCGACCGGGCTCGTGCTCACGGCGAGCTTCCGCAGTCCTTTTGGACCGTGCATTGAGCACCATCAAGGTTGCCGGTGTTAGCAGGCTATTAATGTGAGCTCGTTCTGAGCATGAGCTCTAAACATCGCCCTCAAATATGGCGTCCAGTGAATACCTCTTACTGAATGCTTCCAACTTTGCTATCGCCGTGCACGCGCTTAGTCTCGTCTCAACAAAAACAACAAAAACAGGGCGTACCGCCTGTTTTTTGTTGTTTTTGTTGAGACGAGACTAAGCGCGTGCACGGCGATAGCAAAGTTGGAAGCATTCAATAAAGTTTAGTTGCCAGTTAGCGCTTGTCCTGTGTGCTTCTTCGTCTTTTTGTTCCGTCTCTTTTGCGCTATTTTTAATATGAATGCAATGTGACCCGCCCTGGCTGCCCGCTGCATAGAGCCTATCCAGAACATGTTTAGTGGCGCCCTCTCGCGCCGTCGACACGGAGTGCGGCAGCCGTGAGCGCTCGCTGAGCTCACTACCCCTCCTCTAGTTCACGGCCACTCAAGCAACCAAGGACGTCATGAAGGAGGTTATTTTTTGCTTGTTTTTGTAATTTTAATTTGCCTATAACTTTTAAGATAAAGCGAAATGCGAGAAAAAAGTTTTATTAAGTTACTACGTGCAGTGCGCTCAGGTTCGGTGCAAACTTGAAATTAGTAAAAAAAAAGTCATTGCAGGGCCCCTTGAAGCTTCGTCTTTAAGATTGGAACGCGATAGCGTTGTGCATAGACTTCGCATTCGCCCGTGCATGCGTGCCTCGCGTGGCCTAATCGCTATCGTATCTGGCTCGCAAACCGAAGGATGTGGGTTCGAATCCCACCTAAAGTTCTTCAAACCTTTCTTTAAGACAAACGAATTACTTTACAAAATGAAACTATTTTTGTAACATGCGGCGACCTTTAATTCGCATCACACGTCGCGTTTCAATCACTTTCATTCCACGCGTTACGTCGCGTGACCGTTGCGGGTTGTTTAAAATTCCCGCGCGAGGTCACGTGTCTGCGACGTTATGACCCTATTGACCAACCAGGATTTTCCCTTCACGGCACCAACGCCGGCTTTTCTGCGACACGGGCTACTTGTAAGTTTTTTCCTCCGTGCTCCTACGTTCGATGAGCTCCTCCTCAGCGCAAATTCCAAAACCAGTCCAGAAATCATTAGAGAGCCCCCGGGTCTTTCACTGCGATGAGGTACCGACAGATTCTGCGTTAAATTTATTTTCAGTATTTCAGTTACGTGGCCTGGCACTGTATACACACTCTAAGAAATGCCTGCGCGTCTACTTACCCGCAAAACACTCAAGGAGCCAATCTCTGCGATCTACGAAATCAGCTCAGCGAATGATGAGGCGGAACATCCGTTTAGGCCTAAAAATGATGTCTGCGCTGTGGGACTGCGCAACGCAAAGCGTCATGCTTGCAATGCATAATGCCCCAGCGCAGGCTTAATATTGAGGTCTAAACCGATGTTGCTCCTCATCATTCGCTGAGCTGATTTCGTAGATCGCAGAGACTGGCTCTTCGAGTGTTGTGCGGGTAAGTAGACGCGCAGGCATTTCTAAGAGTGTACTCAGTTTAATTTTAATTTCGATCGCGGCCGAGGCTATGATGCAATTGTGTCAACCAAGCAGCACCAAAAATGCATCGTCACGGCGCTCGTGGTCTCTGAGGGATGGGCTCTCACCGGCAAAACCAATCCCGCACAAAAAACAAAGCACAGGATCACGGCGCATCAATTCTGCGTGATTGGTTTAGTCGGGAATAACAAACGCGCAAAGATGATGAGAGCCATGACTATGCACTCTCGGCACTGCTAGATTGGCTCCATCGGTCTGTAGCATCGGCACAGGCCGTCGGACAGGAGTACAGGGCGACAAATGCGGCATGCTGCGCTGTGAAAGATATAGACCAACTCAAACCACCGACGTCACATCACTGCGGTGGCGCTGCTGTCGATACTGCGCCTGCGCAAACGCCTCACTCCGCCCGAATGTGGTTTCTGCGCATGCGCAGTGCCCGCACCTGGTGTGGGCAAAGCGTGCTTGTTTGTAAACACTTTGGTGGTGTATACATTCGCCTGACCCTCCCATCGATGCAGGTTACCGTGGCCCAGGTGATGGGCGCCTGCTACGCGTTGCTAGTGATGGTGGCGCTGGGGGCGACGATCATCCAGATAGCAGAAGACGGCGTCGGTTCGCCGTCGGCCATCTTCCTCATTTCGCTGTCTGGCAGCTTCTTCGTGGCGGCCCTGATGCACCCGCGGGAGTTCGTGTGCGTCTTCCCGGGTGTCCTCTACTTCCTCGGCGTTCCCTCCGTGTACCTGTTCCTCTTCGTCTACTCGATCGTCAATCTCAACGTCGCCTCGTGGGGCACGCGCGAAACCCAGACAAAGTCAAAGACAGAGCTAAGAAAAGAGCGCGTGGAAAGGGATGAACTGTCCACGGGGAAGAGTCAACGTGGACATCGGGGGTTCCCGGACCTCGGCAGGGGCGAAGACCGAAACGTGACCCACAGGAGAGAGATCCACCTGTCGACGATCAGTGGCCAGCTCGACCAAATCAACAGGAGGATGAGCTGTATGGAAACGCAGTTAGAGTCCGTGCTCCAAAGTGGCACATCGGAACAATCAGCGCGAGGCTCTTCCTTCCCCAACGAGCGCGTGAATGAAGGGAGCAGCGGATCTAACTTCGACACTTGCAGCACACTCAATGAATATACCGGTAAGTATAGAGCATCGTTTATAGTCGTTCGTAAAAGAGTTGTTGACAGTCAACAAGTGGCAACTCCAGCCAGATGGAAAACGTTTCGCTGAGGTTGCCACCTAGAATCGGTTTCCTTTGTCTAGGGGTTCACACAAAAACAGAACTTCGCACAGACGTACGTTCCCTCGGACATGAGCATTTGATGGTCCCGCCCATATCTCATGAGATAAGGTGTAGGCGGTGATATCGCATAAACCCTGGCCAAAGCATTTTTTTAAAAGCGTTGTGCATGTACAAGTTTATGGCCCTGCGTGGCCAGCATCCAGTGACATTACACGCAATCATACAATGCATAAACATCCGTCATTAATGTTTTATATAATAAAAGAAAGTTAGTGGAAGCTTGTGTCGGACCGCTTGTAGTTTCGAAGCAAGCTCCCAGATTTTAATATTTGTTTAACTGTAGGTGCGTCTGAAGTTACTCCTATCCAGTGAGGGTAAGGGGTGCCCACATATAAACCTCATGGATACCTTGTTTGAACCTTGTTTGAACGAATATAACCACATAAAAACCACCCTCGGGTCAACTGAACTTACCAGAAAACCGTAACCTCACATCAATGTAGGTTTTAGGCGAGTGTATTTTGCAAAAGCAAATTAGGCGCGAGTGTTTAGACAGCGTGAGGCTGGTCCACCATACAGTGGTTCACGATGTAGATGAAAACTATAGCAAGAACGGTACGGGTGCTAGAATGGGGTCATGAACTGCATCGCGCAGTAATAATAAACCACCAGACGCCAATACGATGACTATCAGGATCAAATCTGATTGCGTCGATCAATTTTGGTTCATGAGGACATAGTCGTATCACACGTAAAAGATGACAGTGACATTTTCACCAGTGAAAATGTCATTGATTTTTCTGGTGCATTATTTGCACCTACACATATCCAATCAGAACAACTTTTACAAACTGTGTCGGAAGCAAAACTAACTGGAAGTTACAGCAGGTATCAAGGCGCCACGCACCCGTCGCTGCATCGCGTAACCTTCGCGTAACTTCATTCGAAATTTGTATCTTGCCTTTCATGCAGAGCACCACCAACAGCAGGAAGACCTTAGAAACCCCTACTGGATAAAAGACAAAGACTTGGGGCGAGGGTTTGTTGTGTACCTGTCATCCTCCGAGAAGAGATTCTGGGAGGACTTGATCAAGAAATACCTATCCCCCATCGACGAGAACGCAGACGACCAGGCCAGAATCGCGCACAGCCTCAAGGAACTCCGAAACCGAGTTGTCTTCGTGTTTTTCATGTTGAACGCCCTCTTCGTGCTGCTCGTATTCGCGATCCAGGTCAGCAGGGCTCACGTCTGCGTCCCTTGGCCGCTGGAGGTGAAGACCAAAATCACGCTCATCAACGACCAGGTTAGAACTTTTTCTTCTTCTCTTTTTTTTTTTTTTTTTGACGACGGACACAATTAAAAGCGTCCATGTGATTGCGACTTTGCCGCCATTCCGCTCACAAGCGGCATGCTTAGCAAACATGCCACGATACGGCAGAACCATCGGTATACGATCATGCGCCTTGCAACACGTGGCCACCAATCCAAGGAAGCAACTGAAACAGCCAATCACCATATTCCGCTTAACTTAAAGCCCGATCGCAGCCGACGCTACGACGTGAAGGAGCCAATCAATCAGCGCCAAAAATGCATCGTCATGGCACTCGTTGTCTTCGCAGGTTTGCTATCGCCGCTTAAGCCAAGCGCGCACAAAACAAAAACGCAGGATTACGGCGCATTCTGCACTGCATGGAATTGCTTTATTCGGTGAGCAAATGCTCAAAGACGATGAGCGCCACGGCGACGAAACTTCCGACGCGTCTTGATTAGATCGTTCCAATGGCTGCGATCGGACTTAACGTAAAACGGAGCATGCCCGAAAATAGACGAACCCGACTTCCCTTCCATCTGTGATTGGTCAGTCTCAAAAGCAACGTCACGGACCATTTAAATTTGAGCTGTTGTTCTGGCACCTCTGTCGTTGCTTTCGTTTAGGTTTCTGCGAACGCAACCGGCGCACCTGCCATTTTCAGACTGATCAAAGCTTGATTGCCTACCACGTGGTTGTTTTCAAAGTTACATACTTTGGCACGTCAGGCCAGAAGAAGTATGCAATGGCTGCCACTTTAGCGGCAGCCGTGGAACTTTGTTCACTAATTCGTGGCGAGAATTTAAGGGTACTTTAAGGACCGTATGGGCCTTAAAGTACCCTTTAAGGCCCATACGGTCTCGTATGGGCCTTTAAGCCCATACGATACATGTGACGTGCTAAGCGTTCGCGACAAATCTGGCGGTACGATACGACCGACGTTTGTAGGACGCGTCCGCTAGTGTTCATTGTCCAAGATGTCGGTGAGCCAACGCTCGCCCCTGAAAATTGTTCATTGATTTCAATGAAGGCCGCAGGACTGCACCACCTTGATGAATGGTCTAACATCTTCGAAAATGGCCGAACACGTCACACCCATTGCACAAATTTGCCCGCTCACTGAGTCCGGTTCAGCCTGTCAGTGGTGTCAGTGCCCAAGGCCCTATATCCGAAGCGATGACTGCATCTGCCACACTGTCAAAATATCACCGATGCCCTTTTCGTGAAGACCACTCCTTGCTTTGCGCAGATCATCATCACCACGAAGTCCCTCCGGCTGGAACCCATCGGCCTGATCATTGCCGCCTTCTTCGCGTTCGTCATGGTCATCCAGTTCGTGGGCATGATCTGCCACCGATTCCACACCTTTTCCCACATCCTGGCCTCCGTCGAGCTGTCCTGCTGCAAGCAGAAGGTTGGAGACCCCAAGGACAACAGCTTCAATGGTCAGGACGTCATACATGTCACAAAGCGGAAGCAGGGGCTCGATGGCATCGACGGCGACGACGCCAGCACCACCGAGAGCGATGAATCTGGGCGACAGGAGGACAGGAATACCACACGAAGACTGGAAAGGAGGTGGAAGCGGGGTGCTAAGATGGGGACCCTGGACGTTGCCTTCGAAAGGCGGTGCAAGAGCTACAGCGCCGATGGTCTCGGAGGTCAGTTCAAACATTTTTAGTCTCAGTCGCACGGAAAGTGTCTCAACAATCGTACCTTCTAGCCGACGGCTGTATTCACCAACTCAATCCCCACTGTTAACACAAACCCAAAACGTTCACCCGCACTAGACGTGGCAATACAACCTTGAAGACAGGGCCTACACGAACTATTCGTCTCTCATATCGCCACTATAGCCGCTTAATGCTTAAATTAACGCAAGGTGTAGGTTGTCACCTTCCCGCTCGTTGCCTTGTGGTTCGTTCTTTGGCGTCTTTATCGGCTAATGTCGTAATCTCGTTGAATGCGGAACGATAGCATTCTCGGCGTAAACTATTTTGTGCTACACTTTCAAGTCTAGCGTACGTTCCTCGGTGCTCCAACTCTGTCAGCTAGTTTCCCGAGCCAATGCGAATAAGACGCAAGGAAAAAGCCTTGGCCAGCAGCGCTCAGCTGGAGCACTCTGGAAGCTACGCTAGCCTTGACAATGCAGCATACAACAGTTGACGCCAAGTATAGGATACTCCACGCTCGTCACCCACTGAGTTTTTTTAGCTACAAAGCCACAATACGTAACTACAAAGCCGCAATATGTTTCCACGGTATCGTTCACGATTTAGAGACCACACTAATCGAGCTCTCCGATTTTGCTGAAGTCTGCCACTATGCGTTAACATTAGGCTAAATTTAAGCTTCCTACGCGATTGAGAGGATGTGAGCCAAGACCAGAAAGTGCCGTCCAACGTCCTGCAAGCCGAAACACAGCCCAGTGTGACATTTTGTAGCGGGTTCTGTGGCAGGCAAAATGTTGGTTTCGAGCAGCCACTGACGCTTTTGGAGCAGATGTCCACATATGTTAACGGATCACGTGAAAATGAGAAAAAAAAATAATTGCATCGCTATTTGAGTTTATCTGTGATGATGACTGGTGCTTCTTCTTTCGTATTGGAGCGTGTTACCTATTACATTTTGTAATAAAAATAGAAAAAGCGCAAAAAGAAACACGGAGCTTTCTTGTTTAGATATAAGGCTCTGGTCAATGTAAGTTTCATTCACAATGTGCATAAAAAAATTGCTGAAACATAAATCATAGCGCAGAACTTCAGTTCCCATAAAGCCTCTCCCTTCCTCTTTTTACCCTCGGTAGTTTATTTAGCCTGCAAATATAATTTCGGCAAAATGCCAGCAAAATCGAACATGTCCGCTAACGCGTCTATCAATAAAATGCATCCCCTAAGTTTTACGAACCTACTAAACGCAAAGGTCTAATATCATACAGTGCAAAAACAACCACCCCCAGAAATTCCGGAAGCCCAGACTTGTGCTTTCAGTGTGACATTGCTCTTTAGGGTCGTTGGAACCAGAGTTAATTCAAAGTTCGCTGCTTTTTCCATCTACAGCTGCACGGGAACTACACAAGTGACTGCCATATTTATTCAAATTAGGCTCAAATTAAGCCTCTTACGACGTCTTAGGACCGGATGCGCTGGAGCGGATCTGGTTCTAAGACGTCGCAAGAGGCTTAAAAACCGGTCTGATCTCTCTCGGTCTTAAGCGCCGTTCACACTCTTGCGACCGAGTAATACCTCCGTCAGACGGGCAGCTAAAAGAACCTTTGCGCGAAAGGCCTTTAGGGTTTTCAAATGACCTTCAAGTTCTGCCGTGCCAGACAGCGCAAGTAAATGTCATTTAGACGATGTTTACAGCGACTGAAGTCTCGTAGCTCGGTTCAAACGCATAAATAATGTTCACGCCAGAAAAGTAATATTCTGGCGATATAAATAATTTTTTTTTTGTTTTTCTGAAGCAAACAATATATTAACAAAGACAAAATGACGAGTTCAGTCGAGTGATTACAACAAAGTCCATTTTAGGCCCAGGTAAAGTGGTTTCTTGGCAATTAGCGGCAACCCTGAGCGTCCCCGGCTCACTCAGTTCTAGTCCTAACGTTGCTCGGAGCTCCCGTTCCTTTCCGTGCTGCTGCTATGCTTTTGCCCTGCGCTGTTCGGTTGGGTGTTGTGCTCGTGCTCGAGTTTCATCGCAAGCGTCGTGGGTCCTCCAGCCGATCCTCCCAAAGTCGTATCAGCGCCCAGGTCGCCTCAGCGCTCCAATGGAAGCGCGGCGACCCCTTCCTAGTCGAGGACGCTCCTCTGTCATTCGACATATCACACGATGCGAGAGTGAGATACAGAAATATATGTGTACAAAAACAATTAGTAATGCACTATTAAAGGATGATAAATTATAAAGTGGGGAAATAAAAGCCAGATAACTATGATTGTAAGGAAAATCGAGAGGAGGAAAACCGAAGTGCCGAAGCGGACGACGCGAGCAGGCGAGCAGCGGGACGACGAGGCCCACTAGATAGCTGGGGCCGTGAGTACGGAAAACTATTAGTAGAGAGAGATTTGTTAAGAATATACGTGGAACACGCTCTTTTTCAATAATAAAAATGCAGACGCATTGATTTTCGATATCTGTACGATCTTTTATTTCTATTCGCTTCTGCAGTGTAGACCGCTGCTGACGAGAGTATGCCTTTAACCGCCGTAAAGGAGTTGTGGGAACTCAGGCTCACGAAAAGGACCTTTACGCTAAATGCCATTTGAGTTGCCGTGTGGCACTGCCTAAATGACATTTACACTAAAGGTCCTTTGACCTAAAGGTCCTTTTAGGTGCCCGTCTGACAGGGGTATAAGACCGAGAGAGACCAGAACGGTTTTTAAGCCTTTTGCGACTTCTTACGACCGGGTGCGCTGCAGCGGAGCTGGTCCTAAGAGATCGCAAGAGGCTTAAAAACCGGTCTGGTCTCTCTCGGTCTTACTCGGTCGCAAAAGTTTGAACGGGCCTTTACTCGGTCGCAAGAGTGAGAACGGGCCTTTACAACCTACAATCGCTGCTCCTAATACTCCGGTGCCAAGCAGTGAAGCTCGACGCACGAGCGCTGCTGAGAAGTAGTAAAGGCGGGCGGCGTGAGCGACTGAAGTGCCACGGTACACAGTAGCTACGGTGACAAATGCACATGTGGTAGACACGATAATCGAGTGATCTTATCAGGAGTACATGACCCTGGTTCTGTCGTACTCCAGTAGCCGTTATGCTATCTTACAAAGTTTTCTAGCGACCCTGAATTCCTGGCATCGCTGAAATCGGCTGGAAATTTAGACGATATCGGCGATCAAAAGGCCAGAGCAGTTGACCAGGAATTTTTATCCTTCGTTTCATATTAAGTCAAAAGCGCAGCCGATGCTACGAGTCAAAGGAACAAATCAAACAGCTTTAATGAGCGACATCATTGCAATCGTCATCTTCCTTTTTGCGTTCTCTTATCAGCGAAACAAATTAAGTTCAGCGAATGTCCCGTGATTTGCGTTCTTAGCTTGTGTGTTTGTGGTTGCATGTGCTCGAGTATTCGACTGTTCTCTGACTTAAGATAAAACAAGCCATACAGTGAACAAGGACGCTGTGAAATACGTATTTGCACAATTTTACTTTCCTCCTACTTCTTTTAATAATAAGTCTATCAATAATAAAATATTTCTTTTTTGTGTTTTGCTTTCTTTAAGCCCATCTCGGCGCAGGTATACAGCGATCCTTCGCGAAAATTGCATTTTGGCGCAAGATGTAGCAGACTAAAGTTGATGCTTGGGCCAGTTGGTACGACATACTTTGGGATTAAAAACAGCGCAAACGACGAAGGACCAGACGAAGAAGTAACACGGACGCAGCGCTTCTTCTTCGTTTGGTCCTCCGTCGTTTGCGCTGTTTTTAATCCCGAAGCATGTAGCAGACCTTTGTTCATGGCGCAATTTGACGCAAATGGCGCAGAACTTGCATCACTGACAGCCTATCTAAAACTATGGTTTGAGTTGCAGTCTTATGCTCTATTCCACATATTGGAAGGGGGGAAAAAAGTAGATTTCCGGCAACCCGAACATCCGTCATTAGTAACAAACGTTAAAAACACGTCGTTCGTTGTTGTTTGTTTTTTTTTGCGTTTTTTTCTTTTCTAATTTGGGATTTTAAGCGCTAAAAGAACGCGATCCCCTTACGTCTCCGCAGGTGTGATCTTCTTATGCAAAGACCATATCGCTTTCTAATCTCCCAGGAATGCATCCAATGGCCGTTTTCAACAACTTCAGCGACTCTACCGAGAGACGAGGAGCACCTGAAATCGCTCGCGAGCTCGGTAACCCCAGGATGAAGACCCTGGACGCCAGCAACAAACACACAGCAGCGGTAGCCGCGGCCCTTAGTAATGGCGCGGAAGATGCCTCAGGTCACCTAGATGATAGGTGGCATTGACCAAGCCTCCCGACCATGGCATCGAGGCAAAGGACTCCCAGAAAGTAAAGTGTTCGCACCGTCGGTTGCTACGAGGCCCATCAACGACGCAGACGAGAGGACCAGGACACGACGGGGACGTCTAGATATCTATAGGGGACAGATGGTTGATCCGGCGTCAAAATCCGCTGGCATCGGCGGACTGTAAAAGGCCTTGAAGATTCACATCGATGACTTACTAGCATCGGCAAATAGCAGTTCTTGAAAAACTAGAAAGACATGCTAGTTGCTGCGGCGAGCCTCCATCACTTGACTGCAGACCTGTCCTACAACCAGTGTTGGGCAAAGTACATGTAAAAAGTGCTTGAAGTAAAGTACAAAGTAAATGAAAGGTTATGTAGTTCAGGTAAAGCAGTAAGTACACCGGGCGCAATGTACTTGAAGTAAAATGCTATAAATGCAGTGTACTTTGAAAGTAAAGTTTTAACCCAATCTTTCTAGTGCCCTGGCCAAGCTGTGGTTCGCAGCCGCATGCGGCTCTTCGAGTGTTTAAGTGCGGCTCGCGGCTCCCTCCCCTTTTAGGCCGTTATTTTGTTAGCTCTTGTGATTATAAACGATTTATTCAAAGGTCACCTACCCACGGGCGTGCAGCTGCCGTGTCGGCAAGTGAGAACAAGTGCTTCGAAGTGGAGCCATTAGGAGCGCGATTGCCTCGATCAGGGATTCAGTTCCCTACCGAAAATCCCAGTAAAACTTCTCGCTATCCGGAACATGGAACCGGAAATCTATCTGGATTCTATCTAAACACTATCTTGATTTTAGGACTTCAGAAATTATTCCTTTGTCTGCGATCTGGATTTCGGGTTTCAGAAACAAATTTCCGGCTCCCTAATCCGGATAGTGAAAAGGTATACTAAATTTTTCGGTAGGGTTCTTTGAAATATGTAGATGATCTTACTTCGGTATTGGAGGATTAGGTTCACCTTATAATTGCCGGTCCTTTAGTGAAAATTTACATTTTACAGGCTTAACTACATGGAGGTTGTACACTTATTGGCATAAGAGATTAAATATATTTGTATTATGTCCGCAAACTTAATTTGCCGATTAAATGCAAACCAGAGAAAAATCACGATCCAGAAGAAAAAAAGATACTAATAAAACTACCTTTTATGCAAACTCCACCCGTGCCCGATGGCGTGAATAATCCTTCAGCAACTGAGCGATGTATAATTAGCAAGTCGTGCCAACATTGCCGCAGTTTAGATATAAACGTCAGGGTTCAGTAATGCACAGAATTTTAATTCGCAAATTATGCTCAGGACGAATTCGTGAATGGCCAAATAGCGTAACCAATGTCTTAATTAGAGGTAATAATAAAAAAATATGACGGTTTCAATCGTCATCGGGAGGCACCGAAGGTGAACCGTATTTTGAGTCACGCTGGATGTTTTACTCATGAGCTTTCCCGAGCTCCGGATTCACGCTAAACTTAGAGGACGATATCTCGCCCGTCAAATTTAACTTAGGGCTTAACTTTCTTCAGATGGGCTTGCTTGAGACCACGCTCGCGGATTAACTTGCCGCCGACCTCACTTTTCTCAAGACAAAAGTGCAAGCGTAGCAAACCTTCGGTAAGCTACACGATGTGTGGGTGTGTACAAAACCAAACGGAAAAATGGTTTTGCTTCGTGCAGCTGCGGCGTACAACTAAGAATGTTGCATACACGCTTGATATGATGGCGAGGGGCAATAGTGATTTACTTACGCAACCCGCTGACACCGGGGTTCCTGATCATCTGAAAGGAGATGAAGTCTAAAATCTACACGGCTCTCGTGCAGGAGAGCTCTCGATTGACGTATTATTTCAGGCGCTCGGTTAGTATTCGTACAATGCATAGTCGAGCAATGGTGACTCGACGACCGGGTACTCGTTAAAACATAAAGCATTGAAAAGTAAAAAAAAAAAAAAAGGAAACGCGAATTTTTTTTTGCAACAGACGCATCGTTTATCCGGGACTTCCTCCCGGTTTGGCCCCCCCGGCGAGGAGGAAACCGCGAGCCAACCCTCTCCCACTTCTTTCTCGCCCTCTTTCAGTAAAACCGTGTATATGATTTCCTGAAAGCTTACCTAACCATAATCCGTAGCGCATTTAGGTGGTCACTAAGGGTTCGAGATTTCGTAAAACTACGGTCCGTGAGGGGTATACGGTGCCCGAAAGGTGTCTTCGACTGATGTGTTTAGCGTTCTAACTCACCCACACATCAAAGGTAGTCCAAAAGTGGCAAAAAAAATGACGTCACAGAAGCCGACGTTTCGTGCTTAGAAAAAGCACGTATTAGGGAGCGTTTCCAACTCCTCAATCGCGGTAACGGGCTTTATGTGCCACGTTTGCAATACCATAGCCTCCTATATACTGACAAAGCCTGGCAGATCGCCACGAGAAGCGGCCGCCGAAATGGAAAAGGTGGAGCGGCAGACAACGGATGATAGGAAAGCCACGCGACTGGCGCCCCGCTGCGGCGAGACGCCGAAACACACTTCTCCCGAGCCAACGTTACTAAAACACTCAGTTGGGAAACTCGCCGTCGAAACCTGGGCCGCTGGCGTCCACCGAGACCGAGCTAAATACGACAACAGCGCCACTCTTTATCATTTGTCTGTACTGTGGTCACCTTGAGCTTTTAGAAAGCATGTTTTTGCGTAAAAACAAACGGAAAAGACTCTTTTTGTATGAAATTTATTGGAATTTAATACAAAATAAAGGGCGCGTGCTGTTTTTAATATCTTTAATTTGCAAGGTTTTGCGGCATAATTAATATTGTTCTTATAGAACCATGCCTCAGCGGTGCTTTCAGGTACCGCGTCCCGACCTAGGTGCATTTTAACTTCGGTACTAAGACGCGGCGCGTCCGCTGGGGAGACAGGGGTGGCACCCCTGTAACCTCTTCCGCTGTCTCGGTTTCGGCGCCAAAATGGCCGATTAAAGCCAAAATAGAAGTCACGTGGAGTTCCTCGAGTGGCCGCTGCGGGAGAAATGGCGGCGTTGTGTTCGCCATTAGCTCGGTTCTGGAGGAGAGATCGAGGCCACTTTTTCAGAGTAGTCTCTATCGCAGTTTCTCAACTGAGTGGTTTAGTAACGTTGTCTCGAGCGAAACAGTGTGTTTCGGGTCCTCGCCGCTGCAAAAGCTGTGCGCTGACGTCCAGGTCCCCCACAAAAATGGCTCTTTGATGCTCTGTGCTACCAGATCCTGGCGCTCCAGATATGCGAACGGGCAGTTATATGGCTCCTTCGTCGAACTGCCAGGCTTTGTGAGCATAGAGGCGGCTATGGCAATACGGGCTGCGAGGAGGTGACGAACGGCGTTGGTCGTCTGCGAATGTCTGCGCCTTTCCGCCTGCTTTCCTCCTCGCTGCACGAAAACGCAGCGCGCATGCGCACTTCCGACCAATCTTCGCCGGAGTAGGCGTCCGCCTTTATATCGCATACGCTCCCCATGGTTCAAGATGGACCCTATTTAGCCGCGATCCTGGCGGTCAACGCTAAAAGTACAAAAAAAAAAAAAAGAACGAGTCAACGCGATTGTCGCTGTCGTCGCGGAGTACAAACTGCTCGCTGTTGAAGGGTCGTATTTCTCATTCACGACCATGAGACTTTTCGACCATAAAAGGCTATTCAATCACGCTTTCACTTCCTAATGCAACAGAACCTTCCCGGACGACTTTCAATCCTGCGGATCCACAGCCCCGCAATGCACCGATCCTCTATCTCTATAAAAGCATTGAGATAACACTTGTTCCTCTTTTCTCTCTTTCTTTTTTTTTTTTTTTCTAGGTGAAAAGGGGGGCTGGGACGGCAGACACAAGTTACCCGCTACCCGACTGTCGAATTATCCGCTACTAAACTTTCCAAGCGATACCAAAAAAAAAAATAATTAACCTTAAAAGAGATTGCAGTGGGCGCTACGAGCTACACTAACCAATCCAGCGCTGAGAGCTCTGCCACGTGTCATCGCGATCCGCGCCGGTTATAATCAGGCCAGGAATCTGATTATACCGATTGCAACACGCCCCTCGTCGATGAAGGGTGTATCGCAAAGGTCGACCTTCCAGAAACCGAAGATAACGGACCCAAAGTAACAGCGCGGTAGCCTATACCGATAAGATACGACCAGAAATTCGCGCGAAGTAATGCCGCGGTCAGTGCGATCGATACCCCCTTTCTCAGAACCCGACCACACGCTTATAGGAATAGCTGCCGGGCACTGAGATGATAAGAGGACCGCCCGTCCTTGATGCTGCCGGATGCAAGACCACCGGGGAGGCAAAATCGTTTCTATTTTACGTGATTCATCGATTATGACGTCATGGTGTTGCGAACGCTCAAACGCCGTTTCTAGAGTGTTTCCTTCTATTCTTTTATCTGGGGTAAATCAACGAACAACCGGATGCTTTTGACGGCCATCGTCATCGCACCGCTACGACCGAGTTTGTGAGGATTACTCCCGTGAAGTTGGATGTGGCCCGGGCGTGGGAGTGAGCGATACGTGACTTGATTTGCAAACGAGAACACAAGTTTTGGTGCGTGTGTGGTCGCCCAACTTTTTTTTTTTTTTTTTTTGAACTTGCAGGTGTTGCGCGGGACCCAAAACGTAAGTCAGCCATTTGGTTTATTTTAGAACGCGTGTCCTTTGCTAAAACGTAATACACTAAAGCCGGAGCCACGCCGCACGTATATTGCGCAAAAGAGACGGCGTTTGCTGCGGAGATGAATTACTTGTTTGCGGGCAGGGTTCACGCATGTTCAAGACATGCTTGCCCGACGCACGTGTACGCAACTATATGAAAGTTATGCTTCAAATATCGAAAATGTACTTGAATTCATTTTAAATTAATTGTTTCGTTCCAAAGAAGTAGAGAATTAGCACACTTAGCTTGTGTTGCTTTTTTTACCAAGGGGACGAACGGTGAAATTTCGCGCGCGAGTTCGTGCTTTCGATTTCTCTAAATACTAGTCATAGGTTTCCCTGTTCATGACCAACTATGTGTGATGTTCTAGTTACCCTCACCAACTTTTAGAAAACAAAAATACACAGCAAAAAATAGTGCAGCGTTAACTTTTCGGACACGTTTTAGCCACCCACGGTAAGAAGCGATACGCTATAAAGGATACTAATTCTGCGCTTTAATGAAATACTTCGCAAGCTACAAATACAAAACTGTGTATAAATAGTTTACGAATAGGACCTTAAACGTACACTGCTGTTACGCTCGCCTTAGTTGTCAGACTGGGTCCATACACCTACAGCACCGCTAAAATGTGAGGTACACTACGACGGATAACAAACCTGTACTCGGTATATTTAAATACGCTAAAAATGTAAATTAAGCTTACTTTTTTCTTCTTTTTTCATAAACGA